AGGCTGAGGATGAATTCAGATTTGTTTGTTAGTTTTTCGAGATAGGGTTTCTCTGTGTATATCCTTGGCTGTCTTGTAACTCGCTCTCTAGACCAGGCTTGCCTCAAACTCCCAGTGATCTGCCTGCCTCTAGCCTACCCAGTGCTGAGATTAAAGGTGTGCACCAACACCATCTGACTACTTATTTATTTATTTATTTATTTATTTATTTATTTTGGTTTGTTTTGTTTTTCGAGACAGGGTTTCCTGTGTAGCTTTGGAGCCTATCCTGGCACTCGCTCTGGAGACCAGGCTGGCCTCGAACCGACAGAGATCCTCGAGTACTGGGATTAAAGGCATGCGCCACCAACGCCCGGCCTATTTTTTAAAATAACTTTATTTATTTGTTTGTTTACTTATTTATTTATAATGTGCATTGGTGTTTTGCCTGCACATGTGTCTGTCGGGTCCCCTGGAACTGGAGTTACAGACAGTAGTGAGCTGCCATGTGGCTGCTGGGAACTTCACATCGGTCCTCGGAAGAGCAGTGTTCTAAACAGCTGAGCCATCTCTCTAGTCCCCAGAAATTATTTTTAATAATCTCCTAGCAGGGTTTTTAATTGAATTTTTAAAAAAATATTTTATTTTGGGCCGGGCAGTGATGGCGGCACACTCCTTTAATCTCAGCACTCAGAAGGCAAAGGCAGGTGGATCTCTATGACTTCGAGGCCATCCTGGTCTACAGAGCTAGTTCCGGGACAGTCAGAACTACACAAAGAAACCCTGTCTCAAAAAAAAAAGAAAAAAAAAAGAAAAAAAAAAGTAGGAAAAACAAACAACCAAGCAAATGAACAAACAAGCAAAATTCACTTTTTTTACTTTTGAGGAATTATACCAAAAAACTTTTTTAAAAAAAATTTAAATGCACTTTATTTTTAAATAACCTACATGACATGTTTTTTCTTTTCTTTTTTAAATTTATTTACTTATTTTTATTACGTATACAGTATTCTGTCTGCATGTTTGCCTGCTCACCAGAAGAGGGCACCAGATCTTATGAAAGATGGTTGTGAGCTACCATGCCGTTGCTGGGAATTGAACTCAGGACTTCTGGAAGAGCAGCCAGTGCTCTTAACCTCTGAGCCACCTTTCCAGCCCCCGACATATTTTTTCTTTTTCTTTCTTTTTTTTTAATATTTTATTTATTATGTATACAGTCTTCTGCTTGCATTCCAGAAGAGGTTACCAGATCTCATTCAAGGTGGTTGTGAGCCACCATATGGTTGCCGGGAATTGCACTCAGGACCTCCGGAAGAGCAGTGCTCTTAACCGCTGAGCCATCTCTCCAGCCCCCATGCTTTTTTCTTAAAAGGAAGAAAGAAAAAGAAAGAAAGAAAGAAAGAAAGAAGGGAG